TAGTTCCAATTAAAGCTAAAGAAACTAGTTGTAGAATACTTGTAATCTTAGTATCTAGAGAATAGGTACCATAGGCCATTTTGCTAACTGTAATTATCTTGAATTATAAAGGATTGTTTTCTTTTGGGCACCTTGAACTGCCTCCACCCCCCCACCCCTCTGCATATTAATATTTTCTGTATGGTTTAGTTTGGGTTAAACTGAATTTTAAGTATTTGAAATAGTAGAGACTAATAGACTAATCTTACATTATGTGTTGTACCAAATTGCAGCATTGATTTAAAATGGTAGATATTGACACACACTCTCATTATCATCATAACCATTTCATTTGAGCCACATTGGAAGCTCAGACATCAGGGTTTGTTCTCCCATGCTACATTTTATTTATTTTCTCTTTAAAATTAAAGATGCTTTCATATCAGAGCTCTGGAGCTAAGGTGTGTGGATAAAGGAAAAGAAGAAATTATATTTCTACTTATTCCATGTCATGAATGGAAACCCAAGTCACTAATCTTTAAATCTCAAGAACACACAGTCATTTTGAAGCAGAACTTAGATTTTAAACTAAGGGCTAGATCCATACCTGATATGGACTGCCCACCATTAGGGATAGCGTGGAGCTGCACCACCCTAGAGAGTGTGTTAGGAGGCAGAATAGCCCTCTGGTGCACAGAGAAAAATCAAATGCTGTTAAGGTGTAGCTTGCTGCTCCTACATGCTGGTGCAGGGTGAGGTCTATGAACATGGTCCTGGTCCATGATGCCTCCCTACCCTCCCTGAACATAGGGTGTGCAGTTCTGTGTGATCCTTACACAGACTGTGCAAGCAGGAGGCAGGGGACGTCTCTGTGCTCTTCCCTGCATGCATCTACATAAAGGTCAAGCAGAATCTTGTCACAAATGGTTTATTCACTAAGGCTTTGATAGTATTATACCAGTTTAGTAGCCCATACTCCACTGCTCACCCTATTCACTTCAGTGGGACAACTTGTGGAATGAGGTACTATTCAGTTTTAATAAGGATTTCAGAAGCTGGCCCTAAAACTATGATTTATTCCCAACCCATTGATTTAGTTGCAGGGTATCTTTCACTTTTTTTCTGGAAAAAAGTTTCTGACTATTACAGATCTGAAATCTGTTCAGACCATCATCTGGAAAAATAGAATGATATTGTTGGCTATGGAGAGTGATAACTTCAAAGAAACCTTTAATTGGATTTTTAGTACAGAAATAACTATTACTCATTTTTTACCCAGAAAAGATAGAACTCTTAATTCAACGTCTCACAGTCACTGTGATTTTGAATATTAAATTGCAGTTAAGGGGAGGCATCTGACCTTTCTGCACTAAGTGTAGATCTAATATGTTGGAAGTAATCCCACTTATCTGGGAAGATAATTACCGCTTTGTGTTAAATGCTAACACGGGTGGAATATGAAGACTCATTTTTGCTGCATTTTCAGATATCTGCTTATGAGGATTCAGTTGCTGCTCATCTCACAAAAATCCTCAATTCTGATCAACACTCAGTTGTCATATCATCTGCCAAGTGAGTTGATGATTTTGATATATAGTGTGTGGGATAAATCCCAGTGTTCCATCTACATATATGAATATTATAACCTTTCCAATAAGCTCAAATTCCTTCTGACTCTTGATCAGATAGTTTGACCTAACAGTATCCTGATTTACATGTTATAAAATACAGCTGGTTTCTTTTTATAATTATGTTGTATTGTATAATTATATTGTATGTGTTAATGTAATTTAAACATATCAATCACACAGAAATCTTAAAGATCATGTAATGCAAAAATCACTTAGTTAATTAAGACATTAGTATACTGAGTTAAAATGTAAGCCATATTTTTACTTTTGCATATAAGAGATCTGGTTTACTTAAAGGGGTTCTTTTTGTTCACATCCAGTCTATTAGACGCACACACATAACCAATGTGGAAGTAGGAGTCTGCAGCTATATGGAATAATTAAATATGGGCTCAAGCCACAGAATTTTGATCCCAAATTTGAACACCTCTATATATGAGGGCTCATCTCTCTAGAAATCGTGAATCCCATATGAAATCATAGTGTTCCATTTTACCTTGCTGAGTTCCACAGGTTGACTGTATGTTGTGTGAAAAAAATACTTCCTTTTGTTTGTTTTAAACCTGCTGCCTATTAATTTCATTTGGTGTCCCCTAGTTCTTGTGTTATGAAAAGGAGTAAATAACACTTCCTTATTTACTTTCTCCACACCAGTCATGATTTTATAGACCTCTATCATACCCCCCCCTTAGTCATCTCTTTTCTAAGATGAAAAGTTCCAGTCTTATTAATCTCTCCTCATATGGAAGCTGTTCCATACCCCTAATCATTTTTGTTGCCCTTTTCTGAACCTTTTCCAATTCCAATATATCTTTTTTGAGATGGGGAACCACATCTGCACGCAGTATTCAGGATGTGGGCGTACCATGGATTTATATAGAGACACTATGATATTTTCTGTCTTATTATCTATCCCTTTCTTAATGATTCCCAACATTCTGTTTGCTTTTTTGACTGCCACTGCACATTGAGTGGATGTTTTCAGAGAACTATCTACAATGATTCCAAGATCTCTTTCTTGAGTGGTATCAGCTAATTTAGACACCATCATTTTATATGTATAGTTGGGATTATGTTTTCCAATGTGCATTACTTTGCATTTATCAACATTGAATTTCATCTGCCATTTTGTTGCCCAGTCACCCAGTTTTGAGAGTTCCTTTTATAGCTCTTCACAGTCTGCCTGGGACTTAACTATCTGGAGTAGTTTTGTATCATCTGCAAATTTTGCCACCTCACTGTTTACCCCTTTTTCCAGATCATTTCTGAATATATTGAATAGGACTGGACCCAGTACAGACCCATGCAGGACAACACTATTTACCTCTCTCCATTCTGAAAACTGACCATTTATTCCTACCCTTTGCTTCCTATCTTTTAACCAGTTACCAATCCATGAGAGAACCTTCCCTCTTATCACATGACTGCTTACTTTGCTTAAGAGCTTTTGGTCAGGGACCTTGTCAAAGGCTTTCTGAAAATCTAAATACACTATATTCTCTGGATCCCCCTTGTCCACTTGATTGTTGACTCCCTCAAATTAAAAGGGGCTTTTCATTTTGGCAGCGGCCAATTGACTGACAATAGAGCCAAGATTGTATGCATCTGTCATTACAATTCTTTTCCATGTAAGAAAGCAGGTTATTACAATGCAGTTTGTATCAGGACGGTCTACGTACTGCACCTTTAATATTTATCTGTGCCAGATGATCAGAACTCTTGATTTTAATTGTTGACTCTCATTTTAAGATCCACCATTTATTCATTGTGAATTGAAACTACACACAATTAACAATGTTAGGTGTTCATGCAAGCCCAATGCATAAATTTGTTTTGTATGTTCAGAGTAAGCAACAAAGGCCAAATTTTGCTCTCATTTACACTAGTGAAAGGTCACTCACATCACTGTCATTTGGACAGGTATATCTCAGGATAGCATGTGTCTCAAAGGTCTCGATCCTGCATTGAGAACTCTGTAAATGGACCCTGTGATGGGGTGGACTAGGCCCAGGCCAGGAAGGAGCAGAAAAGAAGTCCTCCAAGCGGCCTAGAGTGGTTGCAGGGAAGCAGCCAATTAGGGCCCAACAGGGCCATAAAAAAGGAGCTGCAGAAGAGAGCAGCAGTCAATTGTTGGCTGGAGCTGGAGAAGAGAGGACTGTGTTCCTGTCTGTCTGAAAGAGCAGCAGGATCCACAGACAGCTCAATGTGGGCAGGGACCGGGGGAGCAACAAAGGAGCTCCTGGCTGGCTGCTGGGACTGAATAAGGACTGAGCCTGGGGTGGGCCATAGGAAGGTAGTGTCTCCAGAAAGGAAGCTCTAGGAGTATGGCCCCATACCCGGGCCAGGATTACTTAAAGACTGAGACCAGGGAGGGCTAGAGAAACACCAGCCAAGGGGTGCTGAGACAGGCTTTGTGGACTGTATACCTCAGAAGGGGTCTGTTCTGATACACATACACAGTGTGTGTGTGACTCAGCCGGAGGGCTGAGTCACTGGAAAACCACGTGAGAACCACTGACAGGGGTCACCAGAACTGAAAGACTGCAGACACACCAGACCAGAAGGAGGCACTCTCGAGAGGTGGGTGCTGCCCCGGTACAGACCCCTGTACCCATGTAGAGTCTCACTGAAGTCTGCATGAATGCAAGGGTCTACCCACGTGGAGTGATTTGCAGATTGGCCTAAGTCCGTAGAGGAAGCACAAGTTGTTATCAACTCTGTTGGTATGGTTGATGATACTGATACTGAAAGGTATGCAAACAAGGCAATAAATAAAAATGACCACGTTAATGTCATCTCAGTTAGAAATAGAAGTGAAAACGGAAGGAAGGGGTAGGGAACCAATGTGTACCAAAAGGCACTGGATACTTAAAAAGAAAAATATAAAATCTACTTTTCAAAATTATTTGATGGTGTCCTCTTTACAACCAGAATGGTCTACAGTTGTATATACACTGTAGAGTAATGGCTATAATTTTATTGGTTCGTCCACTTCCACATGTGAAGTGTGTGATTTTAAAACTTTGGCTATAACTTTTTCTTAATGTTCTCATGCAAAAGAAGCATGGGAGTTCTCTTTGAGTTTGGTGGAATTGTAATAAGAAAACCAAAACTATGTTAGTAATTAAAAAAATACATCCAATAATCAGTATGAATAGATACATCCAGTTCATTTCTTTTTATTTGACTCCCTTTCTTTATCCAAAGGATATTATGTGAAACTGTAAAGGACTTCGTATCCAAAATTGGGAAGACCTATGAAAAAACAATGGAAAATGCAGAGGAAGCTGATACCATGGCCATTAAAGTAAGAACTTTTCTTAACATGTTTTTTCCCAGCTACTATTAGGTTTTTAAAATTTAATGAAAATTAAATTAATTTAGGGGGACTGGGTATTCTAATTCAAAAATAGTTCAGGAGACCCGACCCTATTCTCAATGAGGTCAGTGGCTATAAGTTGTTTTTCTTTCCATTAAAGGGACCAACTTTACATTAGAAAACAATCTATTAAATTTACTAAAGATGACCTTTTTTCTTTCCCATTCCACAAAATAAAAACAAGACTCATAGACTTTAAGGTCAGAAGAGACCGACATGATCATCTAGTTTGACCTCCTGCACATTGCAGGCCACAGAATATCACACATCCTCCCATGTAATACACCCCTAACTTCTGGCAGAGTTACTGAAATCCTCAAATCATGATTTAAAGACTCCAAGTTACAGAGAATCTACTATTTGCACTATTTTAAATGTGCAAGTGACCCATGCTGCATGTTCTTTGCCAATCTGACCCAGGAGAAAATTCCTTCCCGACCCCAAATATAGTGATCAGTTAGACCCTGAGCATGTGGACAAGACCCACCAGCCAGACACCTGGGAAATAATTCTCTGTGCTAACTCGGAGATCTCCCCATCTAGTGTCCCACCACCAACCATTAGAGATATTTGCTGCTACCCATCGCAGATCAGCTACATGCCATTGTAGGCAGTCCCAATATACCGTCCACTCCATAAATTTATCAAGGTCAGTCTTGAAGCCAGTTAGGTTTTTTGCCCCCACTGCTGCCCTTGAAATGCTGTTCCAGAACTTCACTCCTCTGATGTTTAGAAACCTTTGTCTAATTTCAAGTCTAAACTTATTGATGGACAATTTATGTTCATTTGTTCTTGTGTCCACATTGGCGCTTAACTTAAATAATTCCTCTCTCTCCCTGGTATTTATCCTTCTGATGTATTTATAAACAGCAATCATATCTCCCCTCAGCCTTCTTTTGGTGAGGCTAAATAATGGACACTTGATGTTATTGAAAAGCTTATCAATTGAAAATTACTTTTCAGTTAATAGAGAGTATATATCCTAGCCCAGGGGTTCTCAAACTTAAATGCACCGTGACCCCCTTCTGACAACAAACATTACTACAAGACCCCAGGATGGGGGACTGAAGCCTGAGCCCACCAGAGCCCCACTGCCCCATGGGGGGGGAGGGGCAAAGCCCAAACCCAAGCCCCACTGCCTTGGGCAGGGAGGTCAAAGCCCAAGGGCTTCAGCTCCAGGCAGGGGGGCTGTAACATGAGCCTTGGGCTTCGGCTTTAGCCCTGGGTGGTGGGGCTCGGGCTTTGGCCCTGGGCCCCAGCAAGTCTAAGACAGCCTTGGCGACCCCATTAAAATGGGGTTGTGACCCACTATGGGGTCCTGACCCACCATTTGAGAACTGCTGTCCTAGGCATATATTAGGAAAGTGAGGAAAATTCATAGCTACAACCACAGACATTCACAGAAATATACTGCTGTAGGAATTGACTTCTCTCTGAAAGGGATACAGTTAATTGCAATAAAACAATGGGATTGTGAAGAGAAAATAACCAGCTGGAGGAGGGGGCACAATAGTACATATAGTGGGCCAGGCTGAAATCACAGATGCGTGATCTAGAGTGGATAAGGAAATTAAGAGTCTGGTTTGAGAGAAAAAAATTACATTGCAGAAAAAAGAATACTTGCTCTGTTGGCTATGTTATTGTACAATTATGCCTTTGTATTTCAGTCTCTGATATTTTTTTCTTCACTGTATGCTTAAACAAAATAGAAAACTATTAAAGTAGTGTTTAATGAAGAATACAAAAAATATCCTGCTCCAGACAAATCATTACCCAGCGTAGACTTTAGACAATCTGGTAGTTAACTTTTGAATTGACACTCAAGTGATTTTTTTTTCTTTTTGTTTGTATGTGTAACTTTGTTAGTGTTCAGAATTAAATGAGAAGCTAGACCTATTGCTCCAGGCTCTTCACACCGAAGCCCAGGCTACTCCCATCCTACCACGGATCACTCCCCCCATTGTAGAGGAAGAAGTTGAGGAGTTTTCAAGTGAAGAATCCTTGTCTGAAAGCAAGGAACAGTTAACAGAGAGCATTGCAAAGTCTTCCACTCAGAAAATCTTCAAACCAAGAGAACAGTTAATGCTGCGGGCAAACAGTTTAAAGAAAGCAGTGAGGCAAATCATTGAACAAGCAGAAAAAGGTGCACATCAGCAAGGGTTTGCTTGTTAACCATAGAGTGTCACTGTTTCTGCTAGCATAAAGTTCCATTGTTAATATTTGATTCCCATATTCTTACATAAATTCAGTAGATGGTTGTTATTAGCTATCTGGCAAGACATGCCATGTGTTAGAATACATTCTAACACATATATATATCTATATATATATCTGTCTGTCTGTCTGTCTGTCTGTATCTTTATACTATATTCATTCCTGTGCTATTTGAGGGACAAGATGGAGTCCTTAACATGACATTTGTTTGCTGCCAAAGGGAGTAGCTAGTGGAGATATACTCAACAATGTATGAAATTGTACCAAGTACCACTTTCTTTGCTTCTTTTGTCATGTTGGTCTGAATTCCTGAGAAGATTACAAGCACATATGCTTTGGGTTTTGTTTTTTAAATTTGCAGAAATAGGCATTCCCTTTTTTTTTCTTAATCTTGCACTAAAACTACTTTTTAAATTTCCAGTTACTGAATTTATTTTCTTATAGAAAAGTCTTATAGTGTAATTTAGCTTACAGGAATATTTTTCTTTAAAAATGAAGAAATTCAATGCCAAAATTGGGTGAAAGTAGTGATAAGATTGCATAGTTGATCATCAGAAGTCAGGGACCCACTTCTCCAGGTGCTACATGTGTGCAGCTTCTATAGGTATCAGAGGGAGTAGCTTGCATGCAGCGGCTGAGAAATCAGGCTCCATAGTGCAAAGTTTTGCTTTCAACAGTAGTGTTAATTTACCTGTGTTGCACATATATTTTCGATTCCTATTTTTCTGATTAAATGTGTAGCTTCATATGTTGTATATCAGCAAATGTTTACTACAAAATGGACAGAATGTGACAATGTCCGAGTGTTCTCTTCAGGTTCCTCATAGCATAGGTAGGCTACATTTTAGAAATGTAATTCAGAGTTTCATTTATTCAAAAGTAAAAGAGAAACTTTTGTTTTCAAAATTAGTCAGGTTTACAAAAATGTACTTGTAGCTATGCACCTGCTTTGCACTGAGTCTCACAATTACTGTGTTATTTGTGAATGCAGGTGGCCACTTATACATAACTAGCCTTAAGCGTGCTCAGCCACTAAACCTGATTGCATGCACAAATTAAGCACTCAGTTGTGTGCATGTAATTTTGAAAATTAGACCCAAAACATATTCTCAGAAAATACAGTGATATTAGAAAATTTGATCCAACTCTATAGCATTTAACTGGGCTAGATGGGATTTCTGATGTAATATGTTTTGTTTACTTTTGTAACTCTTCTCCTTCAGAAAGAAAAGTACTGAAAATTATCTGCAGGAAGCTTTGCCAAACCGTCACAGAGCTCCGTTTTTAAAGTATTATTATCAATATGGTGGTGAATCACCTCGCAGTTTAGTTATTCCATTATCACTGTCAGAGGATTGCTAACTGCTCTTGAACTGATTAGGCAGAACAGGCCTTTTCTCAATATCTGTATGTCCTAAATTAGTGCTACAGTAGTAGGATGTTAATTTTCTACAGAAGCTTTACATATGCGTATTTTCTCTGAAGAAATTTTAACTATTTTTCCTCCTGCTATGCAGTTGTGGATGAACAGAATGCTCATACTGAAGAACAAGTGAACCAATCCCCTATAGAATATAGTAAGGAATTGGATGAATCCAAAGAAGAAGAAAAAGAGGAAGATACAAAGGAATACGAATCTCAGACAAGTAAGTAATCCAGAGAAAAATTCTTTAAAACTCTATAGAGTATTACTTTATGAAGCCAAAGTAGTGACTTCAGAGTTAAACTGGTTAGACAGTTTCCATTATTAGCCTGATTCTGATGCACATATACAGGCTCCACTTTTTTGGGGGGGAAAGACTTCTTTGTGAGTAAACTGTCCTATATAACTCTTGACAGGAGCCATCTTGAACTTCATCTGCTACTGTAGGGACTCTTGAAACAGATGTGAGGCCTGAAAGTGGGGCTCAGTGCTGTAAGCTTTGAGTGTTGTTTTTGCAAAGTTTATAACTTCTTTGAGGCATCATATGGTTCTGTTCTGTTGTTTTGACACCTTCCTGAGAAACAGCAGAGTGAAGCTAACCTAGATTTGATATAGGTTGAAAAAAATCAGTGCAGGTTTATATGAGACAATCCAAGATCATCTGTTAGAATTTGTGTTCTCAACAGGACAGATTTTAGTTTCAGATGGAAACTGCTGATAGTTTTTAATTCATAGGTAGGAGGCTGGTGAGTTTAATATGATGCTGGAACCTTAATTGTTAATATCCTGAATTTCTGGTCTTTTTTTTTTTAAACTACAGCATTCT